TTTTTGTAGAAGTTATAAATATAAACCTAGAAAATATTTATTAAAAGTGTCTCCCCCCCAGCCTTTAACAGACATTTTAAATTTAAAAAATTATTGATACAGCATAAATAGATTTTATGCTCTATTTTATACCAAAAAACTAAATCCATATATTTGGAAAATATTCGAAGAAATCTGGGTGTTCACCAATATTGGATTCTATAAACTCATTCAAAAAGGCGTCAATGCCTACCTTCATTATGTTTGATTCAGTTTTAATTTGCACATTGCCTGAACAACCTGAAGATTTTTCCTCCAAAAAAATTTGCTTAATATCATTCAAATTCAAAACATTCCAACATTTAGGACAATACTTTTTCTAAAAAAGGCTAAAGTGCACTTTAGTAACGTGATCTAAAAATCGATGATTTATATGTCATTCGAAAGAGCTCGGCGAGCTGAGTCGAATGATATTAAAATTATTCCGCGGACTCAATTGGGGGCCGAGATATAGGCTAGCCTAAACCATTTTCCGCATAATTTTCAAACTGCGAGCTCTTATAGATAAAATTGAATTTCGGTTACCCCCTCCTTTTTCCTGCCTAAAAATATTCAAAAATGGTAAGTTTGTTATCAGATTATAGAACTCGTCGAGCTATGTCGAATGACACCAAAATCAACCAACGGTCTTAACTTTGGGCCAAACTACAGACCCCCGAAAATTGAAAAATAAAAGGGCGGACCAAGCTCATTTTTTGGGCTAAAAATTTGATTAAACAAATAATAGCTCATTCGAAAAAGCTCGACGAGTTCTATAATCTGATATCAAATTTTTAAATATTTTGATGCTGGAAAAAGGTGGGGGTATATGAAATTCAATTTTACCCTCTTATATAATTAGACGGAACTTAACATAGCTTGAAAGTTTACCAACCCATTGACTAAATCTTATCTACCCAAGGCTCAATTTTATCTAAATAATGTCAGTACGGTTATTTTTTGTTGAAACTTTGGCTCTTGTCCAGTTCATGCGTCCAATTGCACATTTATACGTCCATTTAAAGTGTTTGCGTTAAAATAAATTTTTATATGTCCAAATAATGACGTATCTTTTTAAATTTATCCAATACTTTTTTATTAAATTGTCTAATTCTTTTTTTAATTACTTTATTTTAATTTCCTTTTATTTGTCTTTAATTGCAATTTTTCACAACTAATATAAATGCGTAAAACAGTTGGTGTATTAAAATGTATTCAAATTCCATATTCTCACACCCTCCTTAATTAAAACAAAAGTTACACTTTATCTAATTGAAAATATTTTATTCATTATATTTCTAAATTTATTTCTGTAAACTTTAAACCTAAAAATAATTAAAATTATGGAAATTTCAAAAAATCAAATAAATATTTTATTAAATAATAATACTTTTCCAAATCATATGGTAAATAATTAAAAATATATATGTAAATAAATTTTTTATCAGGGGATATGTAGGTCATCATTCCATCATTCCATCTGGCTCTTTTTATTTTGTTTTGCTTTCTCCTGCTTTCCGAATTCCACTTTTAAATTGCAGGAGGGCCTTCCCAGTTTCTTAGTATTTTAACTCCACAAAGTGTTGAAAGTTTTAGAAATTAAAATTCCTTCAAATTTTTTGTTGCTCTCGGGTACCTACGGAGATATAGTAGTTATGTGGAGGCATTAACTGCCTTCTTTGAAATTCTTCACCAGACAGCTTTTCCCCCTCAAATACTATAAATTAAATATGTTACTCTCGGATATCTACAAACATTTAGCAAAAATTTACCAAAAATTATTCAAATTCTGTGTATTCTTTATTACAGTTATATAATCAATATAAAGATGCTGGCACAAGTTTTGCACTAATTTTGCCTGCTGTGATGATGAATGTTGCTGGAATACCTGGAATCGCAGCAAATTTGCTTTTGATTTTTGTAACAATACAAAACAAGTTAATAAAAAAAGATTAAGAATATTTTTAATCACAAAAAATTAAATTTTAAGTAAATTGAGAGGATCGGCAAATTATTTATTGGCCTTAACTGCTTTCTTTGAGATTCTCCACCAATCTGCCCATTTTTTATTTCTGTTTATAACAGTTAGTGGCATCAATTTTATTAATTATTCTACAGCTTTAAAATTCCAATTACATTCAATTTTTGGTTTAACAGCAGCCCAGACATCTATGGCATCAATAGCTGCTGACAGACTTTTATCTGTCCTATTCCCACTAAAATACCATAAATTAAATATTCGTCTTTACTTCACAATTCATATAATTTTGGCTTTTATTAGCGGTATTTGGATGTCAATAAATGCTATTAATATATCCAACAAATATTCAACACTTCCCGTTACTGGATATATTTCTGACTTGTTAGTTTTGGATATGGAAATAATATTCCATATTATTATGCTTTTATGTGGAATTAATGTTTTGTTATATTTATTTGTTTGGATTGTTGTCCGTTGGTTTCATTCAGGTAGAGAAAGGATGCATTCACCTTCAACTAATCAAATTTTTCTCATTTTTGAAGCAAATAATGATGGAGGTACTCAATCAGAACCTCAATCACGCCTTCTTAAATCCCTAATTTTAATCGTGTCAATCGTTATTGGAGGTTATGTAATTGGTTGTATATGTAAAATAATTGTTGATCATTTCCTGAATTTAAATGATATACAAGTAGAGAATAAAATTTAGGGGAAATTTTTACAGGGGTGCGACAAATTTTCCGCCCTTTTTGTTTTTGTCTAACATTTTTTAAAGTCAATGTTATAACAAAATGACAAATGACAAAATGTCAAAATGTTATGACAAAAATAATAAAGGCAGAAAATTTATACCGTATAAAATATTTTTTAGATTTGGACAGTTAATCAGTTTGCTGGAATTCTTATAAATATTGGTGCTTCCGCAGAGACTCCAATACTTTATATTTTTAGGTTATAATTTAAAAGTTAAGAGAAAATTACACTCATATTTTTATTTAAAAGAAATTAGGTAATTATTATAATTAAATTACAATGTTTAGTTTGAGGGTACTGCCCAAGGCCATAACGGCGCAAAGCCATAACTTGCTTCAAAATTTCAGAATCTTACCAACTTTAGTATTAAACTATTCCTCTCATCGAGATAAAGAAATTTATAGCAAAAATGATAAAGGCCATAAATTTTCCAGTAAGTTATGGCCTTGCGAAGTTCGTGTGCCACTCAATTTAAATATGTTAATTAATAGCTCTTAAATAATTTATTTCAAGTTCATTCTATCGTGAAGCTATCAACAAACAATTAAAAAGCATTTTTTATAAAAAGACAAATTCTAAAAATGTAGTTTCAGTCCATCCCGTTTCATTTAACAATAGAGGAGGTTTTGTTAGCAGTGAAGGAATTAATGGAAAAACAAAACAATTGGAAATTAAAAATAACGGAACTGTTTAAAACAAAAATTTGTATGATCAGCTGTTTCGAATAATTTTAAATATGTTTTTTAAATAAATAATTTGTCAAAAATATATTTTTTAAATGGTTTCATATCTTAAAAATTTTATGCAAATACAGGGTGGGGCAACAGTTCGGCGACAAATTTTATTTTGTCCTTTCTTAAAATTTACTTTATATTTTGCTTTTTGTTTAGATTTCCCATATTCTATGATTCGCGCTCTACAAATTTTACCTTGAAAATTTTTTCATATCTCATAAAGTAAAAATTTTACTGGTCGTTAAAAAATCGTGCTTCTATTATTTCTTTGTATTTTAAAATGTTCGAAAATGTGACATCGCTAGACTCCTCGATATGTGTCGTATGTTGGTTTCCAAAGTAAAAAAACGATATCATGAGCACATATCTAAGGTCCTTAATATAGACTCATTGTTTTCATTATTCTCTTTATTATTTATTACAATTTAAATCGAGGTTTTATAAATATTATGACGGGATTCCGATACTTTCAAGGTTAAAGAGCATAGAGGAATTGCCAAATACTTACTTTCTCTGCTATATTCTAAAAATGTCAATACGAACGTGTTAAAGTGCATATACATCATATGTGAAGCTGATATTTGGTCACTCACATAGGTAGAGGAAAAGGCGGAGATTTAGGATAAATGTATTGTAAAATTTATTTAAAACGAGGTGAGAAAAATTCTTATATTAGTGTGCACGCTTTCGGGTATTAAAATTAATGTGATTTGGGGATAGGAAAAACTGTCTGAAAATATGGTAAATTTATATTTTAAAAATTATTCTGATTGGTGAATTGGGCAGGGGTAGTGGATCGCCTTAGGTGCTACCAGTTAGTATGTTAGGTATTTGGGGTGTTTTGAGAAATTACTTTAAAAATGATTATTATATCCTATTGATTATATTTTATCATTTTTTCATGTTAAATAAATTTTTTTATGATAGATTTTATTAAAAACATTTGTCGCCGAACTTATGCCCCACCCTGTAGACACAAATTAAAAATGTGCGAGATAAACTTTAAATTGCACATTGAATTCTAACAAGGTAACAATTTTCACCATAGTCTTAACAAATTTTCATAAGATTTAGTATGTACATATAATTAAATATTCCTTTATAAACAACAGGTGTAATTTAAATTATTAAAGTACGCTAACAAATATTTAAATTTAATAAACAAAAAAAGCAAATAAGATGCATTGAATAATACGCATTTAAGAAAATTTTTATAACATTCTAAAATTAAGTTCGTTTAAAGTCGACTTTCAAATCTTGCTTCAAAACTCAATAATAGAAAGGCTAAAGCCGAAACTAAAATTTTACTAGATAGTATTAATTTTTAAATAGACAATCAAATACAAATAAATTTACAAAAATGATGTAACGGGTTGAGAAAATATTGGGGCGGAGTTTCAGAATTTCCTTCATTCAGATTTTGGTCGGAGAAAACACCAGGTTTCTGTTATCGGGGTTCGTATAACCCGAGACACCCCTAATATACAATACTTTATTTCATGGTAAATAATAATTTAATTAAGAGAGCTAACAAAATTGTTGACCGGATGTACTTTTAAATGATGGTGATTAGGAATTGGAATAATATTATTTGAATTATTTGTCGAATTTCTATAAAAATATTTTGGTCTCCAATCTTTTAAGAATTCATTTCTAAAATCTTCGCTGATAAATAAAAGAAGCCATGAAGACAATCCAGAAGTTCCAATGTCTGTAACAACAGGCAACAATGAAAAAAGTGCTGGCATTGAATGGCTTTTTGGGCAGACATATAGAAATATCTTTAAAAAAATTCATCGATAATGATATTTTAAAAATTTCTATTAAAAATTTACTGTCACTATAGCAATAATTGCATGTCCAAACAAAGTACCCAAAGCATAAATTAACAAATTTCGTTCAATTTTTTTCTGATTATTTGTTTTATTAGAACTTTTAATATTTTTGTAAATAAACAGAATTGTAAAATTGAGGATGGCACAAGCTACCAGAAAAATAATTGAGTAGTAAAAGCTAATATACATATATGGTCCTGGCTTCTGCAATTTTAGATATTAATATTAAGTCCCGAATTAGTTAATATCTTGATCCCAATATCTAATACAACCCTCTATTTTATAAATTTAAAAACTACAAATTTTACATCAAGTTCCTTTGGAGGAATTATAAATGAAGTCATGTTCTGTTCATTTGGCAATGGAATGATAACATAAATATCCATAAACAAAATATAAGAATCAAGTAAAGGAAGACCAAATATGACAATTATCGCTAATGGTAACAATGTTTTCCAAATCTGTTTTAATAAAATTATTTAATGTTTCTTCCTACAATTTTTGATTAAAATTCGTTAACATTATCCTTACCTTATCATGCTTAATAGTAAACACAATAGCAGTTAAACGAGTCAACATCATAAAAATTGTAGCTAAATTATTAGCTCCATAACCATGTAAAGATAAAAAGTAAAAGAGTGCAAAAACCCAAGTTGGAAACGTTAAATAAAGTTTGTAGGGCCAACCTTTTGTAATTAATATTATTCTCGAATAAGTATACGAACCAAAAGATGAATAAAAATCCTGTTTAAAATTTTTAATTTTATCAATTATTTATATAATTCAGTTAATAAGATTAAACTAGATATGATATAACTCGATTTATAATAAGATTTTTTTACTTCAGGACCATTGGGCTGGAGCTGCTTAATAATCGGGAGCATCTAATTTTTGCGTAGTCGTGTTTAATTGTTTAAAAGTAAGTGTAGCACCAACCTAGTTGGAAAATAGAAGCTAGTAATATAGTCTGATCCCCTTTGCATGTTCAAACCAATCCAACTTCGCGTACATGGTACTCGGACATTCTACTTTGAAACAGTGATTCGAATCACGTACCACAATTTTTTCGCGTTATCTCTGACATTCGCGTCTTTCGCATATCCGCATTTCTCGTTTTATTTTGAGTAAATTTCGCCCAGCCCTTGTAATAAGTATTACAACGAAACTTACAGTAACTGCCCTTATGATGAAGAGCAAATAGAAAGGTGTGTGAAATTTTTTATGCTTTAAGATTGTTACAATTTCCAAGATATAAGTAAATAATGAAGATAAATTTATAAATATTGAAATATAGAAAAATGTACTATTTAATGAGACAATTAACTGTAGAATGTGATCATATAATGTAGTTTCTTGTGTTTGTATTGTGCTTATATTTGTTGACATTTTATTTTATAAATCTGTTTAAAATATAATTAATTAGTTGGATTAAAATATAATGGATGGTGGTAATTATTTCAGAGACAACAGTGATATAATGTACCAAACATTTACAATTTTATACTTTAAGCTATCATTTAAATTATTATATTTAATATTAGTTTTGTGTAAAAAATTTTTACTAGCACTATATCTCTTATAAATTTTAAGTATATTTATGTATATAGTTGAGAAAATTCGTTGTTTATCTAATTAAAATATGTACTATGTATACGCCTACTTGACGACTACTTATTTATTAATATTAAATTAAATAATGAATAATTTAATAATAAACAACCTTCTACTAAACAATTTTATTAATTCCACTTGTACATTTTACAACATTCAATTAATATGTAATAAAATGAAACGATAATTACATTTAAAAATCATTTTAATTAAAATGTACATTTGTCGCAGTCCATATTCAATTCTTGTCCAAATTCAATTCGGCCGGCCAAATTCAATTTGGACAACGTTTTAGGACAAATTCAATTTAAATATTACAGTCTTGTTCTTTAGATTCTTAAGGATTTGTTTTTTGTTTGACAATGTGTTTTTTGTTTTTTGCTTTTTGTTAGTTTTTCATTTTTTGTGGTTGTTATGTTTATATTGCTTTTTTGTGGTTGGGTCTTGTGTAATTTAAAATAATTTAAAAATAAAAAAAGCTGTTCCAGAAACAGAACTGGTTCTAAAGAAAGTTTGAAATTTTCCATAACTAGGTAAGAGTCGTCCATTTTCGCAACCCTGCAAATAATAATTACAAAAGACAAGAAAAAGTTTATTCATTAAATAAAGTGCATGATCGTGCCCAAAACCGGGAAAAACGAAACCTACGCAAAGTATTCTGTTTTTAAATGAGAAAAATTAAATAATGAGAAAAAAAGTGTACAAAATGATTTTACTCATGAATGTTTACGCCTCAATTACTTTAGTTTTATATTCCGTTTTTTAGTTTTTTATATCTTCTTTCTTTGTATTCTTATATTGTTTATTGTAACAAGACTTGCATAATTGTTGTCCATATTCATGACGATACCAAGCTGATGTTTCAGTACTTTTGCAAATAGCACAATGTCGGTCCTCCTTTAGTAAATTCAAAAGATTTAGTATTTATATGAATTATATATTTAAAAATTATGAACATTTTAGCTCTAATTTGATTAAAAAGTGCGTTTGCATTCTATTTATTTTTATCGACGGTAGTAAATAAAGCATAGTAAGCTCAATTATATAAAAAAAGTTTGCTTATTGTCTATCGTTCCTCAACGTCTGGATAAAATTACTTCAGTAATTTTAGAATTAGTAAATATACATTTAAAGGATCTAACTTTAATTATTTTTTAATTATCTTACTAATTAGCATAAAGACAAACCTTTTTAATGTTAATCCAAAATTTTTTTGGTCTATGCTTCCCAAATTTTCGATTATAATCTCCACATTTGCTGCACAAATAATTTTCTTTTCTGTATATATACCATTGTCTAGTTTTTGTAACTCCACAATTTAAACATATTCTCTTAGTTTCTTCAATCATTCCACCTTTAATATATAAATTAAATTTTTTAGTAAATGATGGATAAACAAAAATAAAAATTTTACTTATTTTATTGCTAATATAAATAATTCTGTCTTTTAATTCTCTAGGATATTCAACTTTTTGTTTTTCTAACAATTCAATTTTATATCCAATTAAATTAATTTCCGTCAAATAACTCGATAAAAGGCTGTCTTTGTAATTTTCTATATTTTCTTTTAATAATTCTTTTTTATTTATATTTCTAAACTTTCTTCTAATATCGAAGTTTCATAATAATTATTATTCATGATAAAATTATTATTTAGGCGAATCTTAGAAATAAAAAATTTGTGACATATGATTGAAGGCTTAAATTTCGAATAATCTGAAAGTTAATACCTTTTTTCCCAAGTTTTTCAAAAACTTCTTGACAATTTCATTATTGACTATTTCAATCAAAATTCTCGTTTTTAATTGAGAGCTAAATTTAGACTTTGTATTTAGTTTGACAATAAAAACATTTTCAACTGGATCTATTTCAAGCTTACTAAACGATCCAGTATTCTTATAAAGATAATCAACTATTTTATTTCCCTGTTTTTCATTCATTATCAAAACAAAACGTTCCTTTAATTGAATATTTCTTAAATAAATAAATTCTCTTTTTTCTTCCCAATCTTCTTTTATTTTTAATTTAACCTCAACCATTCTACCGTTGATTTGGGTATTCAACAGAAAAACAAAATATAAGTGAAAAAAATAAATTTATTCATTTTAGATTTTAATATTAAAAATATTTTATATAATAAACAAATAAAATTTCAACCGATTTAATATAACTGATATTAAATGTCTTATTATAATTAGAGTACGTCCGATAAACTTAAATACCGATAAGCTACAAAATATTATCGTTCGGTGAAATATACACAGATACTTTCAAATATACACAGAGTACGATACGGTTTGGGCTCTGTTAAATATCTATATTTAGAGGTAACTGGATCTATAGAGGTAACATAGAATATAAATAAAATAGAATCAATAATATAATAAATAAATAAGAATAAATATAATAAAATAAAATATTAAATAGCCTTTAAAATAGTGGCCAAAAAATCAAATAATAAATTAATTATTTGTTTACCTGTTTTGAAATATTTAAATGCTAAAGGCATTAGAGCTTTTCGAAATTTCGATTTTCGACTTGGATAAACCAGAATTTCGAATCGAATATTTCCAAACACGTGAAAGACATATAGTAGGGAAAATATAAACATATAAAAAATTTTGGCTACTAATTATATAAACCGCGGTATTTGACAAAAAGTGCAAATTTTAAAAGTCCATAAAAGGCATAATAAAAATAAAAAATTGCTATGCGTAATTATAATATTTTTATGTGTTATTTTTATAATTATTTAATTTGTCACTTGGGGAATTAAGAAACCTGCCTTAATCATTACCTTTAATGCTTATTAGTGTTCGGCAAATGACCTTTTCCGGTATTCGGTATCGGTATACCGAAAAAATACCGATACCGAAAAATACCGTTTTTTACAAAAATTGACCGGTACGGTATCGGTATCGGTATACCGGAAAAATACCGATACCGGAAAATACCGTCTCAACATTTTCGGTATACCGGCCGGTATTCGGTATTTTTTAAAAAATTTTATAAAATTTTTTTAATTTTATTTTTAAAATCTTAACAATAAATCTTAACAATTTCAAGGACTTGAGCTTCTTCTTTTCGATCATAGGCAAGATTTGAATGAGCAAAATGTTCAACAGTTCTTCCTTTTTCAGCGCCGCAGGCGAAAATTTTGAGAATTTTGGAAAACCAGAAGACAGATTTCTTCCTTTTTCAGCCCCGCAGGCGAAAATTTTGAGAATTTTGGAAAACCAGAAGACAGATTTCTTCCTTTTTCAGCGCCGCAGGCGAAAATTTTGAGAATTTTGGAAAACCAGAAGACAGATTTCTTCCTTTTTCAGCGTCGCAGGCAAAAATTTTGAGAATTTTGGAAAACCAGAAGACAGATTTCTTCCTTTTTCAGCGCCGCAGGCGAAAATTTTGAGAATTTTGGAAAACCAGAAGACAGATTTCTTCCTTTTTCAGCGCCGCAGGCGAAAATTTTGAGAATTTTGGAAAACCAAGAGACAGATTTCTTCCTTTTTCAGCGTCGCAGGCAAAAATTTTGAGAATTTCACAAATACCGAAATACCGGAAAATACCGCGGTATTTTTTCGAGGACCGGTACGGTTTCGGTATCGGTATACCGAAAAAATACCGATACCGAAAAATACCGTTTTTTTTCAAAATTTGACCGGTACGGTATCGGTATCGGTATACCGGAAAAAAATACCGCGGTATACCGGGAAAAATACCGCGGTATACCGTACCGTGCCGAACACTAATGCTTATGCTCTAGCGTGTTCGTTGTCATTTCACAGGGACAAGTTAGTAGCGATATTAAGCTTAGTTAATAGGCGTTAATAAAACTTGAGAATAGCCGTTTATTCTATATTTTATGTTTATTAAAAATTCAACACAAAAAATTAAGCTATTTTTCTACTATATTTCTAAAGCCTTGTATAGCCTACGGCATGTCAGAATACCAACTGAAAGACTTATTGACA